CCGTTAAATTAATGGCCAATACATGTAATGTCCAATACAGTTTTTCACCGTATATAGTAGGGGAATTTATTAGTTATTTGTAGTTATGTAAACCACTTTATGGTCGTTGAGAAAGAAAAACATTTTGTCAATTCGTCAGGAGCATGAAACAATTTTGATCTGTATGGCAATACTAATGATGGAATAAAAATACTATTAAACTTCATTTGGTTTCTCAGACACCAACAACTGAGTCCGAGTGGAAGGCCATTGCCAAAGACTTTACTGACAAGTGGCACTTTCCACACTGCTTAGGGACTGTGGATGGCAAACACATCTTCATTCAACCCTGCCAAGTCTGGAAGCATGTTTTACAACTTTAAGTCCAGGTTTTCCATCATACGTATGGCTGTAGTCAACTCCACCACAGGTTTGTGTATGCAAGAGCGGGAACCCAGGGCAGAGTGTCTGAAGCTTGTGTGTTTGCCCAGTCGGACTTAAGAGTTGCTATGGACACTGGCCTACTGCATGTCCCCCATCAAAATACTCTGCCCGACACTGATGTCATGATGCCCTACATGTTCATCGGTGACAAGGCCTATCCGCCCAGAACAGATCTCATGAAGCCCTATCCTTTTCGAAATCTGAGCCCAAATCAAAGGATTTATAATTACCATCTTTCCAGGGCATGCCGTGTTGTTGAAAACGCCTTTGGAATTTTGGCAAATCGCTACAGATTTTAGAACAACTATTTGCCTGGATCCAGACAAAGTTGTGCCCATTGTTTTTGCCTGCACAACTTTTATGATGCCTATGTGCCACCTGCCTATGTGGATTATGAAGATGCCAACCATCATCTATATATATATATATATATATATATATTTAATAAACCAATGGTTTCAAAAAGACCAATGTGTTGCTCAACAAGTTTACCCTCCATCACTTCATTCCACACCACACGCCATAGTTTCATTTCTGTTTTTGTGCAGGTGCAGTGAGGGCAAATCGGTGAGGGCAATCGGTTTGTAGATCTGATTTAACTGTGCAAAATCCCCACAAGGGCCGACCAAAATTTCTGACATGTCAGAAATTCATCTGACCATCCAGTCTGGAGAGGTTAATCGCCTCTGTTACCCCTGTACACTGCACAACAAACAACGCACGACAAAGCTGAAATTCAGCCCGACTCAAAAAAGAGTTGCACGAGTCAGAATTCGCCTCAAAATCGGTCGAAAATCGCACAGTGTATGCCCGGCCTTACCCGAATGAAGAACGTTGATGGTAGTCTTGCTGTGATAGTCGGTGTTGACGGTGTTACCGGTGTTAAGTCACAACACCGGTTATGTCACTTGCCCACCGCGGCACCATCAGTTTTGATATTTTATAGTAATAAAAACATTTAGTTAATTTAGAGAACAGACACTACAATTAAAAACTGAACGCGGCTGCTCAATGAAGCGTGCTGAGCGACATTCGTATCACAGATCAGCAGCTTGAGACAGATTTCATTTATCAAGTGAGGAGAGTGAGTCGAGCTGACCGACAAGAAGATTGAGGTGAGACAGACAAGACCACAAAATAAACTCCAACAAACACAAGTAACATCCAGCCGGTTGTTATCGTAGAATAACCTCTGCTTCACATCGGGGTCCTGATCACCCTGTCGGGGGTTATTCTGCGATAATAACCGGCTGGATGTACATTATCCCTTACTTAACTGTCAGCTTGTTTATTGAACTGTTGTATAATATCAAAATACAAGAATTATCACACTCACAGTCTGGTCTGAATATCAGCATTACCTACGACTGATTGACAGCTGATATTTGGTATGACAGCTCTTGCTTGTGTGGTATTGCTTCAGTATAACACAAATGGAACGATGCACTGATCAATCCAGGACCAAAACTTTTTATAGGTTTTATAAGATACTTTTGCAGGTCATGTCAAACATTCAACCTTTTATTAACAACCTCTTTGTGTGTTCTCATTTAATTGCATGGAAATCATTTGAAAATCGTTTTTGTGGCATGTACTGTACATGTGCCTGTACATGTTTAAAAAACATAAATAAATAAAATAATGTGATTTTGGGAATATTACATGTAAATATCCCTGTTTTCAGGAAGGGATATCAAATTGCACATAATCACGATTGCACATAATTTCCATCATGCCATGTGAAACGCCAGTCCATGTGTGAAATCCGTGAGCAAGCATGGCAAAGACCCACAATTTCCAGGTAATGTGTACTTTGTCCACAGTAATTTAAACTCTCAATGGAAAAATGTCTGAAAGTCTCAGTGGAAGTAAGTATGAGTAGGTATCTTATTAAATGTCATCTTACCAAAGGAGGCTGTTGCCATAGAGATTACCATTACCATACTATTACTATTACCAGACACCCTTTAAAATATGCAGCTACTCAGTGTAAAGAGTGACTCTATATGAACTCGTAGGATCCAGCATTTAAAATAGAAGTTCATGTCACATAACTACTAAAAATGATTGCAAATGTGTGTAAAGTGCTTGTCAATCTAAATCTACTGTCACATTGTTTTTTTAGGGAAAGCATTAAATGTTCCAGTGTTAAACAAATACACAATGTGTGACTCAAAAGCCATAAAAACAGCATCGAAAGAGATCAGTCTTTTAAAACTGTGTGTATTGCAGCAAATATAACAGTGAATCTCATGAAGAAGTGTCTGCTTCATATTTATGGCAGCCTGTTTCTGCAACAAGATAAAAATAACAGTGATTGCTTCCTTTTATCTCACAATTCTGACTTTTTTCTTGCAATTCAGAATTGCAAGAAGTAAACTCAGAACTGCGTAATATAAACGTGCAATTCTAAGAAGAATAGTCTGAATTGTAAATAAAAATGTAAAAAAAAAAAATAATAATAAAAACTCGAGAAATTGTGAGAAAAAGGATAAAAAGTACCCTATTTAATTAATTATTATTTTTTTTATTCTGTAGGCAGAATTGGGCTTCCATACATATTACACCGCAAAAGCAGAGGATATATATATATATATATTGCATAAAGAATATGAAGTTTATTTTTAGGACCATTGTTTTTTATTTATTTACTTATTTATTTTTGTTAATTTATTAATTTATTGGCATGTTCTTGACAGGCATCAGGAGATTCACCCAGAAACACTTTTTTCCATATGTAACTGGTCAGTGCATTCAATGAGGATGAATCCTTCATTTAAAACTTTAAAAGTCAATTAAACGTACAGCCTAATCTACGTGGATATGAAAAGCCTTTTAGATGAATGCTGACAGTGCCTTTAAACTCAGAGTAATGGCATCATTAGCAGTGGAGAGAGTTCAGAGGTCAAAGAACATCGGCGGCACATGCTTGACCCACTTTAACAGCTCAGGGTTTATTCTCACACATCTGAATGCACTGGAAATCACATGCATATTCATCTTGTTCACTGTCTTTTCGAGTCCTCAACTCTCTCTGTGTGTGTGTGTGTGATGTCTATTCAGGCTTTGTCCATTCTTCTAATGACCGTTCACAATGTGAGCATATGAATTGGTGTCATTTACACCCATTTACAGCCCTTTCTTAATGTATATTCCTGGTCTTAATGTGAATGTTATTCCTTTGGATAATATTTGAAACACACATTAAGATATTTTCATGAAACCTGAAAAGGTATCTGTCACTGCATAGAAATCCATGCATCCAAAACTTAAAAGATTCAAAAAGGTCATCATAAAACAAATCCATATGAATTGAGTGGTTTAGTCCAAGTCTTGTGAAGAGACACAATCACTTTATTTGATGAACAGTTTCATTCAAAATCTTAATTTGTGTTTCAAAGATTAACGAAAGTCTCAAGTAAACATGAGAGTATAAACAAGATTAGTACACAAGTTATATAAGTAGGAGTTATTAAAAATCATGTTACAGTATGACTGTGGATTAGTTCAGCTCTTGTGGAAGCATCTTCAGATGTTTTTTTAAAGGCCTCAGCACATCCATCTGCACATGTTTACATCGGAAAACACACAAAACACTTTCAGTGTAAACAGCCCCTTATTCACATGACACAACACTTGAAGTTTCTCAAAGTTACCATTTTAAAAGAGTAGCCTCAGTGAATCGGCCAAACAGGTTTGAAAAGCAATCTGGATGGATTCAGACCGCTTTCTCATTGAATCCTTTGGAGTGGTTTCTCAGTCAGTGCAACAATATCATGAGAGCAAACGAGCGCTGGATGAAGTGGATATTTACCTGCAATCAACTGAATTGATTGAGAGGAAACTTTGAGAAGCTTCAAGTAGTGCCGTGTCATGTGATTGAAGGACTGTTCAAGTGTTTTTGTGTCCACCCATGCTGTTTTTCATCAAAACTTAATTAGATTTATGCTTCAATGGGGTGAGAAAAAATAAAACTTAATTTACTGGAACCACTACAAAAACACTGATTAGAAAAGGATTTTTTTTTTTTTTTTTTGAAAAACATACTGCATACTACGTTCATAGTGGCTTATTTGTCAGTACGAACAAAAACATTTTCACAAGTTGTGTGCCAAAAATAGAAACTTTCCGCTCACTATGTTTATATTGTTACTGATATGTACTTATTATATTATTACTAATATGATGTGATATGATATAGGTAATAAACACTGTCTGAAATTAAATGAAGGTGATTCTCAGACAGTGCGGTTATGTACACTCCTTTGATTTAATTTTTCATACTCCCATTATGCATGCATTTAAAGTCCCCGGCTGCGTCTCTCCCCCTGCAGACACTGAAGTTAAATCAAGGGCAGATGAAAGGCTAAATGAGCCTGTAACATAATGATGATAAATGATGTCTGTATTGTGGTCATGTGACGGCATCATTACTGCACATTATACATCAGCACAGTGTGCTGGCACAAATTAATACTAGCACGCACACGCACACACACACACACACACACACACACACACACACACACACCCACACACACACACACGCACACACGCACGCACATGCACACACTCACTTTCTTGTGCAGGTAAGCAGACGGGGCGCTCCAGTAGTACGGTGCCGTCAGGTGAGTCTGCACGTCTGATTGGCTCACGGTGAGCTGGTGGGCCGTCTCTCTGCTGGGCACCGCCCACACAAGCCCCTCCCCATCCGCTCCTGTCAGATACCATCCAGACATATCCATCACCTGCAAACAGACACACCAAAACATTCAGATCTCTGAGACCGTGCTGTTGGGTAGGGCAGGCAATAGTGCTACTGGTATGTATGCTCATCATATGCAAATTACAAAATATATGTTTAAGTAACATTTAAGTGCGTATTATCATTTCAGCAGAAGGTCCAGCAGCTCTCTTTTGGCATTCCATAACCTCATAATCAGCCAATCTCCTTTGTGATTGGAGCAGTCAAATGGAGAACAAACTCATTCGTCACAATTTATTGCAGTTCTGCCTAGCAGCGTTTAACTGTTCTCTTCATATGATAATCTGTATTTTTGCCTGTATCCTTTCTCTTATGTGCATCATTCTAAATATTATTGCATGATTGATTAAATGACCTTAAAACTGAAGTTCCCTTTCATGGGAACTTCGAACTGCGTCCTCTAGGTTTCTCATAGTGACCCCTAGAGGACGCAGTGTCTCGTTCCCTACTCAGGGAACGTCTCCGGTAATTGGGTAA